ATGGACTATTTATTTGTTTATTATTTATTTAAATAATCCTTTAATCCTGTTTAGTTATAATATTTTATTTACTTTAATATTTTATATATATATATATATATATATATATATATATATATATATATATGTGTACACACTTTATACATCCTGCACTACACAGATTTCTGTCCAATCAGATGCTTTCTAGAATGAGAATGTCCTGCCCCCTTTTGCCACCCACAACTGATTAGCAACATAACAGTATTCGCATTAGTATTAATGTCACTTTGATTTGCGTCCAATTTAGACCTTAAATCTGACATATTGAGCCTTGGTGCTCAATCTGGCAACATAATATTTTCTATAGCACAATTTTCTATCTTCAAATAATAACAATAAAAAACATGTCAATGTCTTAAAGGGATAGCTCACCCAAAAATGAAAATTCTGTCTTAAGGGTTTGGAACGACATGAGGGTGATTAATTAATGACAGAATTTTCTGAATTTTTTGGGGGTGAACTATCCCTTTAATTAAAACTCTCAGTGTTCCACACAGATGACTTTATCAGTGAGGTGAAAACTGTGAGCTTGTCCTTCAAACCAACACAATAGTCTCATTTGCAACACTTGCACATTAATATTTGATCACATATGACCTTGTGATCCCGCCTGGCTGTTTATTACTCTTCACCGGATGCTAAATTCGCTCTGATAAGCTTGTGTCACTGTTTAAATAATGGAATAGTTCAGAAATATGTTGTGTAGACTCATTAATGCTGTTTATTTTCCTGTATTCAATATTTCCATTTCCTTAATTTATGTGAAAACATGCAGTTGGCTGCTTTTATTACAAAGCAACATCTTGGCTTAAACAGGAAGATATTTAAGTAAGGTCATATCATCAATATTACACAGCCACACTCAACATTATGATAAAAGCGTGCATATTTTTGGACTTATACTGATTATAATTTGGACTGTCATCTAGGTCGCTATATTTTCTGTTTATGTGGATATCAACATGCATGTTGCCTAATAGCCCATGTTAGCCGTGCTGCGCATCTCCCACACAGCTTGAAAACTGGCGTGATTAAATTCAGCAAACAACAAGGCTGCCAGGTCTTTCTGACTAAACTGATTCAACAGTCAATAATTAAATGTTTCTGAAAGTCTTTGATCAAAACATGTTGTGTTTTGTCACACATATTTCCATGGCTGTGTTCACACAGCAAATCAGAAGTGCTCTAGTCTGATTCTGTGCTCAAATCTGGATTTTTTTTTTTGGGGTCATTCGTGTGACCTTTTAAAAATGGTCCATATCAGGCACTGGTCTGAATATCCATCCATCATATATCTTTCTATCTATCTATCTATCTATCTATCTATCTATCTATCTATCTATCTATCTATCTATCTAT